CGTCCGCGGCTGCTGACGCATTGTAGGGGAGGGGGGGGGGCGTCTTCAATACAGCACTTAATGAGAACAGACTGACTCTTTCTCCCCCCCCCCCCTCACCTCTCCATTCTATTCCTCCCTCCCTCCTCTCTTGATTCTCCACTTCTCTCTCTCTCTCTCTCTGCCCATTTCCATCTGTCTGAGAGACAAAGGGCCACGAGCCAGCTCCGAGCCCCGGGACCCTGCTGGTGAAGTAGGCAGGGATAATACGGCCCATCCCGGGGGCCGCATTTCAACACATGGACCCGGCTTTGTACTCCTGCTCCACGAGCACCCTTCATACTACTACTACTACACACACACAGGGATGTGCACGCTTCACGGGCGCACACCTGAGGGAGGGAATCGGGGGTTCTCGCCTTGAACGTGAACACTTCTCCACGGCGGCCCCGACGACGCGGAGGATAAAAGCGAGGGCGGCACCAGGAAAAAAGCCCCAAATGTTGCTCCTTGCGCTGCGAACATATGGCTGATTGTTGTCACACTCTTCCTCCCCTGTCCAATTTACACAGAGCGAGCTCTCTGAATTAAATGTGTGTGTGTGTGTGTGTGTGTGTACCTGAATGATGATGAGGTGAAGGATGTCCTTATACTACGATAATGGCTGCTGTATAATCCTCCTGCTGTCTGCACACACCTCCTGACATATGGTCACTCCTAGGCCTCCATCGTTACATAAGCCCACAGTGCAAAGAGTGTGTGTGTGGGGGGGGGGTGGGGGGTTTGTGGTGAAACGTGGTACTTTCTCACGCACACACACACACACACACACACAGAAGCAAGCACCGGCCACACTGTCAGCCAGGCTGCTCGGTGCCCCTCAGCGGCCCGGGCTTTTCGCCTGTCACTTCTCTCTCTCTCTCCCCCCTTATGGGACTTTTTTTGAAAAGAATAAATTTGAAGAGGGCCGATCGCTACGAGAAGCTCTCGGGATGAGGAGCACAAATGGCCTCGCGGTGCTCGGCGGCCGGCGTGCAGATGGACCCCTCCATTCAATAACGCTCGAGCAGAAGTCCGGGCTCCGCGCCCCATGCCAGAGCCGCGCCGCTTGTTTTTGTGTTCTGAAGGGGGACAATCTGTTGACGCGACCATATTGGGGGGGGGGTCCTTTCTTTCTTTTCTTTTTCGGTTTCTTGTCGAAGCATTGACAGAGCGGCCTGTGACAGTTGGACCGGTCCGGTCTAAATGATGTGCAACAAATGCTCTAATTAAAATCAAATGGTTATCAGACATCTCAATGGAAGCATTGGTTTTCTTTTGGGATGCAAACCGCTAACGGTGCCAGTTTTAGTTGAACCCAACACATTTCGGCGCCTTTATTTTCTGTGTTCAGACGGACCGGGAAGCAAAATGTTCGTGTGAGTTGAATCGGCTTCATACACGTATAGAAACGAAAGGGAAAAAAGCAGAGAAACTGGAGAATCAGAGTTTCAGTCACAACTAAACACACACACACACACACACACTGTCGGAGCAGCCCGTTGCTTGCTAGCTTACAGCTAACGTCTGTGCAGTTGGTGTGCAGGCTGTTTGGGGCAAATAAACACCCGGCGATGAGATTGGTGTGAATGACCCGAGGTCGGCCACTGTGGCATTTAACAGAAGGACGACACATCGTAATGACCTACATTTCTCTTTAGTCAGTTGCTTTAAATTCAGAGTATCAGCGATCGAGGGATTGCCTCCACATGGCTCTCAACGTGGCGACTGGCTGATCCGGCAGCTAACGGTGCTAACAGGCGCAAACATTGGCAACAGCGCTGACAGTGTTAACTCTGGAGGTGGACCGGAGGGTTGGGCGCTATGCTTACGCGACGGCGTATCTGCCATTACCGCTGCCGCATGAGTGCAGTGCGGCGTTTAACTCGCATGCACTAACGTGCTCGGATTACACACACACACACACACAGAGGGAGGGAGTGTGACTTCATTTTCTGCTCAGCACAGCGTTACTCCACTATATATATATATCTTTACATAGCAAATGGTTGTTTGCTGCTATATTAATGCTCTGGATTTCGAATTCAGCGACTTGAAACCGGCCTCAAACATGCCACATTGGAGCAGCAGAAACAAGCTGTGAACACAACAGTGACATGTTATCGTCTTTTAGTGAGTTGATATGGTTTTACAGAGCAACATAGGTCTATGATTCTCTCTCTTTTAGCTCTGTTTTTGGTCTCCACCGACTCCTGAGGGAAATATCTGGCTTTTTAGCAGCTAAATGCTCCCTTATGTTCACCGGCTTCCATTGTTGGCGTATTCCCTGATATATATTTGTAGCGTCTTCCTCTTTGGATAGCATGAATCTTGGCCAGTAGCTGACACGAAACAAACTCAAAACTTGCTCAATTGAAACAAATTCGTGAAGACGTCGCTCCATGTCAAGGAGTGACCAAGGCGACTTTCGATTCTAGATCACAAAACTCTTCTTCTTCTACTCTGTTAAACAGCAGATTACAGCCACACTTTTAGCCTACAGCGCCCAACTTCTGCAGAGTTTCACTCAAACCCATTTGATAAAAAATGCGCCTAAATTTCGCGACACTTCAAACGTTTGCTTGGCAGTTGAATGGAAACACGACTTCATTCCCATTGTTGCAAATAAAATGAGCACGCTGACTCAGCGATGTCCGTTGCACATTATATTTAAAGTTTGCCAACATTAGCCACCACGAGCTATTGGTCACACCAGACATACTAATGCTGTAAAGCCTTGTGTGTGTGTTGACATTAGCAAGGCTGTGTTTTATTGCGTATGATTCAACTTTTCATTTGCAAAGAGGAACAATGACTTCTTTCTTCTTTCAAAGGTTACGCCGCCTCGCTTCAAGCTCACACCCAGAATGTCGACCGCGCTAACAGAAACCTTGTCACCATACAAGCTTCGTTCGTCGTGTGTGCAGCTGAAGGTAAAATGAGAAAGTCAGGAGGGGCGGATGACTGACAAACTGACAGATGCCAAACAGAAAGAAAATGGAGACACAGGAGGCCCTTGAGGTTTAAAAGGAAAGAACATTTCATGCAACCTTCAGTTCTCCACAGATGGAGGAAAAAAGGAAAAGATTTGAAACGCAAACGTGACTATCGCTAACCTCACTGCAGCTGCTGCAACCTGAGAGAGAGAGAGAGGGAGGGAGAAAGAGAGAGAGAGAGGGGGGAGATTGATATATATAGAGAGGGAGATATATATATATATATATATATATATATATATAGAGAGAGAGAGAGAGAGAGATATAGAGAGAGAGAGAGAAAGGGAAGAGATAAAGAGAGAGAGAAAAAGAGAGGGAGAGCGAGAGAAAGAGAGAGAAAGAGAGAGAAGAGAGAAAGAGAGATAGAGAAGAGAAAAAGAGAGGGAGAGCGAGAGAAAGAGAGAGAGAGAGAATACGAGAGAAAGAGATGGAGAAGAGAGAAAGAGAGGGAGAGAAAGAGAGAGAGACAGAGAGAGAAAGAGAGAGAGAAGATAGAAAGAGGGAGAGAGAGAGAAATAGACAAATATACAGACATATAATATATATAACCACCTTGTGCAAAAAACAAAAGGTGCACTCATGTTAGTCTAATGTGGAACAGATAAAAGCATCCACACAACCTCCACATCTCATCGCTCTGGAACTCAACTACAGGCCTTTCCCCCCCTTGTTTATAGCGCAATCGATGGCAATGGGCGGTTCTAATCGCAAACGAATATAAATATTTGGGTCTTTTTTTTTTTGTTCATACCATTTGGCGATATTACATCTCGCTCGCTCGCTCATAAATTTCCATCTCTCCCATCCCTCCTCTCTCCCCGGGTTTTTCCCACGGGAGGTGCCAGACGGCCAGTAATTTGGTTGTCTTGGCTCGTCTGGAGTAACACCTGCCCCCTCTCTGGGGAGGGAGAGAGCCTTTCAGCCAGGGGCACACATGGAGGCTACCACTGCCTTTAGCTGCTGACCACTGTGTGTGTGTGAGTGTGTGTGTGTGTGTGTGTGTGTGTGAGAGAGAGAGAGAGAGAGAGAGAGAGAGAGAGAAATAGAGAGAACATGTATGTGTGTGCAGTGATTTTCTTATTTCATCTTGCATTGTGTGTGTGTGTTTGTACAGTAGGCTAAACATGAGTCTGTGTGTGTGTTTTCATCTGTATGCTAAACTGGGTTTGCACTTATTTCACCTTGCATTGTGTGTGTGTGTGTGTGTGTGTGTGTGTGTACAGTAGGCTGAATGCGAGTGCTGATTTGCGCGCGCCCGTCAGCTTGAGCGCGAGCTTGACGTCATCATGTGCGCGAGCATCATTCCAATCAGCTGAATATTAGCAGCTGTCGCTATTAGCGCTCTTTTTTTCTTCTTCTGACGGTGCAAACCTTCGTCACTTTCTTTTGAAAATATTTCAAAACAGGAAGTTTTTTTTCAAGTATTTCCGTTTTAATTAAAAATAAAAGCGGAAAATATGAAAAGTTTGTTCATTAGAAACCAGCTGTCACACGACACCTCTACTACAAAAGATCTGCATAAAGCAACAAGTAGCCTACACAACCCTGAAGAGACAGAAAATCTTTGGATAGAGGATATGTTTGCTTTTTTTCTTCACTATAAAATTACTTATTGGATTTCGTAATACAAAGCAGACACAAACAAACGAAACCAAAAAATAGAACATCAAAACATTGAAGAGAATAAATTCAGACTTTTTTTTTCTTTCTTTCAAATTATTAATATTACTTTTTGGTCACAGCCCTCTGATAGGTGGTAGAAACTGTTTGAAATAATTCTTTATATGATTATTCTGTCATTTTAAAATGAAACGCTAATTCTTGTTTTATTTAATTTCAAGCAGCCCGATTCTTATTCTCCGAGCGACCTCTGAACACAACAATTTCGGAAAATAAACATTTACGGGGCCAATGAACCCCATGTTTAAGTGCTTTATCGTTGCTATTGATAGGCAATAGACGTGACATTAAAATAAATTAAAAACAAAAAAACATGACGAACATCAAACTTACATCAAACCAATAAGTTATGTTATGGATCAACAGAAAGTGCCTTTTTTTTTTTCAAGAGTAGAACACCATCATTTTTTTCAAGTTCAATTTCACAGCCTAAAATATAGAAGCAACAAACAATATACATTTATACAAAACAAAAAAGACGCCAGCCTATGATATCAACATAAATAAATTAGCCTTAAATATCAACACATTTAAATAAATAATTCCATACAATAATTTAATAAAAAAGATGATTAAGGTCACAATTTCATATGTCATAAGTGGCACTTACGCATCCCCCCCCCCTTCCTTTACGGAAAACATCACCTAAACTAGAATCTAAAGCAGCTATGTCTCGTTTACATCCTTTCATTTCGATGTGAAAAATGTTTGTTTGTTTTATTACACCTCAAATAGAGACAGTGAGGGGGGGGGGGACTTGAATGTATTCATGTTATTAGGTAGGATTCAACTGATAGCGTTGTGTTGGGGGTGGGAATTGAGGTTTCTCTGAAAACCAAATTATTGAAATTCATGACATTATTTTTCTTATTATTCCTCTCCATTTTAACACCTTTGTTGAAGGAAAACATGAATGCTCGCGGGGCGTCCTCGCGGCCTGCCTGCCCCCCTCCCTCTGTCTGTCGGATCATAATCAGTATTCTCATTATTGCATCTAACAGCTCAAACGACTCGGCGCTCGTTGCTTTTCTTGTTGTTCAGTGAGCGGCAGGACTGAAAGTTGAGGCTTTCACTCGGGAGCAGTCCCCCCCCCCCCACAACTTTGCAACAACTATCATCACCATCACCATCACCACCGCTGCCGTCATCAATAACCGACGCTGGACTCACGCTTGGAGGGGGGGGGGCAGGTATGGCAAAGTCCCAGCATCCGGGGACTATTCATTTGGAGGGAGAAATTCTTCCATATAGATTTTTGGCCCTGCAGGATGTATTGTGTTGACATTCTATATTAACATAGAGTGAAATATGTATTATATAACCTCCGTTAATTAAAGGGTTTTTAATATTATGGTGGACTGAGCACATTTTTTTTGCACCCAGAAATTGACAATATTAAAGGCAATGCCCGCACAAAATATGAGCCATGGAAGGCTGCAAAGCCCCTCATCTGCTTCACAAAGTCCACCCTGCTCCCCACTTTGCCGTACCCTATTGACCCCCCCAGCCAGAGTCCAGTCAGCTCCACCCAAACCATTTCAGTCCCTTTTTTGTTTTGTGTTTAAACATCCAACACGTGATTGAGATAGGAGATGTAGCATATCGCCAGTCTGAGGATCTCGATCTTGGAGAGCTTCTTGTCCGGGGGCAAGGTGGGGAGTAATTTCCTCAGCTCCGCGAAGGCCACGTTGAACGCCTCCACGCGGATCCGCTCTCGGGTGGCGTGGGCCGAGCGGTACTTGGCCGTGGCCCTCCGCCGCCGCCTCTTCTCCTCGCGGCTCAGGGGCTGGTCGGACCGGCACTTGGCCCTCTCCTCGCCCTCCGCCAGCTCGTCCGAGGTGCAGCCGGCCGACCTGAGGCCGTTGAGCATCGACTCCGGGTCGGACTGGGTCCAGGAGAGGTCCGCCTCCGCCTGGTCCGGGCTCAGCATCATTTTGAATTCTCCGGCGTTGGCAGTCGCTCCTCCTTAAGAACCTGTGGACGAAAGCAGCTATTAAAACATGGATTTGTGCTATTTACCCAGCTGAATTATAGATTACAATGAGCATCTGCTTAACTGTTGTTGATCGAAACTCGCAAAAAAATAACACAAAAAATAATGAACAAAAGTCAATTAAATGTAATTGTTTTAGTGTTTTCTGCCACCCCGAGGCCCCAGTGTGAGGGATGCCACAGCGGGGTGCCTGTCTGGGTGCCAGTCTACGTTCGTTGCATAATTACATTAAACTTCATAAATAATAAATCCCTTGAAGAAAAAATAAATCGTGTAATGGTTAATTTATTAAAGCCGGAGGCCTTAAAATAAAGCCGATCGATTAGGAGAATTTTTTTTCAAATTAAAAAAAATGTCTGTTTCGAATATTTTTATTTGATAATTCTTAATAACTCGAGTTGTGACGATTTGAGAGGAGAAAGTCCCTTTCTTTGTGAATTAACATAATCAGAATTGGCCATCTGTCACAGTGTGATGAACACATCTGCTTGGCTGAGGCCACGGTGACTTGACAGCATGGAGGATAAGACGGCAGAAATAATGTTGACATCTGGACATGACGGTACCCGAGCTATAGTGTGTTTTTATTAAGCGAGGGGAGTAAACATGTAGAAATCAGCCGAGGAAAAATAGCTAATAGAGGCACAAATATTTAAAAACAAACTTATTTTTTTCCAATTTTCTTTTTCCTACATTTGAGACTCACCTTGACAAAGAGTTGGGAGGAGAGCAATCTTCTGGAATCGAACTTCAAATCGCTCTCGAGCGGCGCTTCAACTCCAGATTAAGTCATATTCGATGTTCGATGAAAAGATGGACCTTCAAATTAGCGGACAATTTTAAAACAAAACAAAAAAATGTAAAAGTAGTTTCTACTTTTTTAGCCTCGAACTTGCAACATGGGAATCAGGAGGGCGGGGGGGGGGGGGGGGGGGGGGA